TATGACCTCTGAAACGTTGGTAAACATCGACCAGACTACACAGCGCAACAACGCAGAAGACAGAAATCTTCATACTCATCGCTCTGATGACGGAGCCAGTATGACCTCTGAAACGTTGGTAAACATCGACCAGACTACACAGCGCAACAACCCAGAAGAGAGTAATCTTCAGACTCACGGCCGTGAAAACCTCAATTCGTACAAACTTTATTCAGTCGCCGTGAAAATGTTTTTGCTCTTAATTTAGTATGTAAACGCGATTTGCAGGGGTAATTTTGCAACTGACTGTATTACTGTACAATACAAAATGTTTATTGCGGCCAACTTTTAAGGGGACATACTACTAGGCCATGCTAATAGAAAAAGGTAAAATGGCTTCTTATCCCAATAATTAGGCGACTACTTTCTTGCTGTCCTTGGTCGTGATCTTCAGTCTACACATTTCACGCATCCTTTCAAATAAAAGTCCTTGTTCCGATTGTTATAGGTCTTTCAGTGTCATTTCGTAGCTTTTATAAGAAAAAATGGTCACTGAGAATAGCTTACAATATTTTGAATAGATTTAGAGTGTATTTGAATAATTACCTCTTCCAGTTTTCAAGGAAGTGACTTCCTGCTTCCGGATTTGGATACAGGAAATAGGTGTTTAGTTTTTTGGGGATAATATTAAGACTGAGAAGACAGACTCTTATCAGATATCACAATTAAGGCATTTTGAGCCAAATTCAAAATTAGTATATTTTAATATCTGTGTAATGTTTTGTATTTATAGTAAAACGTGGGTAAACGATTCTTCACTACAAATTCTTCTTTATATGGGAGCCACAGATTTCATCAGACGCTATGCTGAATGTTTAAACGTTATTTTAACACGGACGCCACACGCGCGCTGTTAGTGTGTAATTCTGGTACTAACAATCTCGATTACAATGAACGCCACTGTTATGCTTCTTGCTTCTACCAGTGGGTCATTAAGAAACCAACACTATTCATTTGTTTTTTCGGTTTGTTGGGCTGGTACATGTGTACTCTACATTCAGACGATGTCATTCTGGAGACTAGACGTGCGTTTATTTGTATTCGGCTTGTCCACACAAACGAAAAGACCACCATGGACTTCTTCACCGCCGTAAGGAACGCGTCTAATTGATTTTACGTGTTAATTTATGTTTATTTAATGATTGTAAATGCCTCAGATTATATAGGGGCAATTGATAAAGCGATTAATGAAAAATATATTGGAATTGATGTGGAAGGTAGTGGCTGCAGCTTGATTTAAGGTACTGTCTCGACGTACGCGTAGAAGGACTGAAGAAAACAGCGAAAACCTTCATTCAGGACAAACGAAAAGACGAATACGAAACACAGTGATAGCCACTAGACGGCTAATTTCGGTGTAACTTTATATTTATAAGAAACCTTTCCACGCCTAATAGATCCTATGTTTGTTCTGATGGTATTTTGCTCAATAGATGAGCAATCAGTTTAGAACAGTGGTATTCAACCTGGGGTACGCGTACCCCCGGGGGTACGCGAAGACATCTTAGGGGGTACGTGAAATTTTTTTAAAAAATACGAGGCGCGTCCCAAAAGTAAGTTTCCCTGGGGCCGTTTACAGAAACAAAACACAATTTCATGGAAATATTTATTGCAACAGATACAGCAAGTGTCCAGCTATTTTTCAACATATTCGCCACCGGAATTGAGACATTTGTCATACCGTGGGACCAACTTTTGAATACCTGGGTCGTAGAAGTCTGCCGCCTGGGATTGGAACCACTGTGTGACAACCATCTCCGCCTCTCTTTCATTCTCAAAACGCTGACGCTGACGCTGACCGGACAGGAATTTCTTGAGGTGTAGGAAAAGATGGAAATCACTGGGAGCGAGGTCCGGGCTGTAGGGTGAATGATTAAACACCTCCCAGCTGAACTTCTGCAGGAGACTTGCTGTCCGTCGAGCCGTGTGCGGCCTAGCGTTATCACTGACCGCACTTCACAGTCGGCGGGAGCTGGAATAAGAACCTCCATCTTCAACAGCTGCAACGATGCTACTGTGAGAACGCGGGAAGTACCGTTAGTGCATGCGCCATGCTACGTCATTGCTCTATCACGTATGCACAGTCGCTTCGCTCAATATAAGGTTTGCTAGCTGTGGGACGAGTGGGAAACTTACTTTTGGGACGCGCCTCTTATATGTATTATGATAAAAACTGAATAATCAGTAATGTAATTTATTTAATTTATTTTAGATGTAGATTATATACTATGTATAACTTGAATTATACACCAACAAATTTGGGGGTACAAAGTTGAAGAGAAATTATATCTGGGGTTACGCGAACAAAAAAAGATTGAATACCACTGGTTTAGAAACTCGGGCGTAATATTTGCTGTCATATAGTTCACAATCCTTCCGTCTCTTATCTAAGATTATAAGTAACTAAACTGAGTGACTAACTCCATGGAACAGAGTCTGATGGCGTTACAACCCATACGACAGCCATCTTCGGAGTTACCGCCGTGAAAACCTCAATTCCTAACTAATAACTCATTCATTATACCATTTCCTCAATCTTTTAGGGATACACAATTTAAAGTATATATAGCCTGTATTCCTCCTAAAAGGAGGTTCTCATTTTCCGTACTTATGTTATTCCTTTTCCTTTGTTCGTTTGGCCCAATGGCTTTACATTTATAGCAGGTCTTTTTATCATCGTTTGGTCTCCTTTTCTGTCAGTATTGTGTTAGGGTGAAACACCAATCTGGGTAGAATGTCTTGAAGCGTTGGAGGGTAAGAAAATTGGCCCTTGCAATAAAGGACAGCAATAAAGTGGGGCATTGCTCCCGGCTGACAGTCATTGTGCCGATACTTAGGGAAGTAGCAGGTCGGTGTTTGAACATGAAACCGATTAGTTGGGACGAGATTCGTAGTTTATGGCAATTCGAAACTTCATCATAAACTGGAAACTTGATCCTTCAATAGAGCTGTCCTTTTTGAAAGCTTGGTAACTGGGCCCCACTGGGGGGAGGTTCCACTGTTTTACATCAGTTTATAGATATTTTGCCGCTCAATTCCGTATTTATATTTTTCTGGTGAAATAGGCGGTCTGTTTGTTACGTAACAATATCACACTGGCCAGAGGGAGAATAAATCAAATATTCCTTTTTCGAATAATGAAAAAAGTCTATTTGTCCAAACAATTGTAATATTTGTCTGCATCACGATGTTGTTGTTATTATTGTTATTATTATTCCATCTATTCACTATCATTATTGTTGTTTTATTGTGATTTCTTGTTGAGTTATTTGAGAAGAAAACGTGTGACTTGAAAATTATAACACACCTGTTGTAGATTTTTAGCAATAAACCTACATAGATAGATAACCTTATTCTTTCGGGATCATCTGAGTTACTTGTCAGATTGCAACTCGTCATCTCTATTAACATACACTGAATAGATTACAGTTGAATGAGAAAACTCTAGCAGCAAATTCCACGAAGCAGAGTATCCGTTGTTCATCTCGTCAAAACGTCCTCGTCTTTATGGAATCAGATGGTTCATCACCGTGTTCACGAAAGCTCCTCACTTGCCCCTATCCCAAGCCACGTGAATCTGGTACATATTCTGACCCCGTTTAAAAATCCGTTTTAATATTAGACTATTCTACAATCTTCTACAAAAGCATCTGAGGCTCTGGTTAACATTGCATTAATTTTACAAGAAGAAACAAACTTCCTAAGTATTGATGCAAAACGAAACTACATTTAAAACTTCTTCGGTCCATGGCCTCCTCAATTCACGTCTTCAATTCGGTCATATCCTCCGCTGCCATCTGTTAGGTACATTTAAAACTATTTTGTTACAATTATTTGATTCATCTGGTTCAGGATATGGGCCGGTGGTGGGCTGTTGTGAACACGATAATGAACCTTCGGGCTTTATGAAAGGCGGGGAATTGCTTGATTGCACAAGCTTCTCAAGAATGAAATTAGTTACAGTTACTTAGTCATGTTTTACACACAGAAAACGAACCATTTTTCTTGTCAGATATGTGTACAATTTGTTCATGACATACATCAATAAATGATCACTTCATTATAAGCGATTCTATGGCGTAACCTGTGGATCCAGTTATTACGTATCCACCTCGTATGAAGTTGTCTAGTCCTTGCATTAGTACGCATGTCTAATGACATAACTTGTGAAAACATAATTAACTCAGGAAACGTAGTAACCCAATATGGCGGCGATTTAAGCAATCTCTGTGGCTGGGAAAACGCATCACTGACAATGTAAGGGTTTATTTTTCTTATTTCTTTGTCCGTTATGTTCTAGCGGTTCACCGGTGGTTCTGTCTTTCTCGTAGTACCTTAACCCTGCCGCTGTGACGTCATTCTCGACTCACTTGGAGCCTTGCCAATACTTCCGCGTTTCAGAATAGCGATATTTCTCTCTCACTTGCAGTCAGTCGCCCCGCCGACGAAGACAAACATACAATCTGAAATGCATGTGACACACAATTCATGTTACCGGCCGGCAATACTAGCCAAGCCAAAACAAGTTTTCATTTCCACAGTATCTTGCGCAATCTGTCGGATTGCTCGGAGAGTTATACTTGCATGGCATTGTCCGTGGCTTGCCAACAAGCAGACGGATTAGAAAATGCTTACGTGTTACGCATCGCAACGAACAGATCATAGCAATTTTCGCTATTTATGAAACAGGAAAATTGTCAGAGATGTATATGTAGATGCTGGTTTATAAATAGCACGATGTGAATATTTTACAAAATCGTACAGAGGGAGTTCGAGAAATTTTTGGTTGTAAGTAATTATGTGACATGCATTTTGCCTGAAGAGGTTAAGGAAGACTAAAGTGACGCAGATTCAACTGTTATTTGTTATCAAAAATACAATAATATAATTGATGCACCAGAGGAAGATCTTAAGCAAAGAGTCATAGAAATGTACTACAATTTTAATTTTAATGCTTATAGCGGTGAAGTTTGGCCGGATGTCGAAGAAGCAACGAGAGAAAGTGGAGGATGAGGTTCGGTTCCACAGAGCACAGTTACGAGCACAGACAGAAACTGCACCTGACAGTTCCGTCTTTGACACGCAAACACCTTCATCGTCTGACCAACTGCAGCCCAACTACAATGGCGGGTAAGACCAGCTTCTGTGCAGGACTTGAATTAATATAAACATTTATTTTTGTTTTTGTTTTCAGGACTGTCCATTTTATACTGTTCTGTTTGTAACAGTGACAGCTGCATGGTTATATATCCTTCTGATCATTGCCTCACCAGAATTATAAGTAAAAATTAAGTTTCTGTTATTTTACCTTATTTTCTAAACGTTGGTGACTTTCTCTTGATGTTTGTCCTGTCTACGAGATGAGTTTGATGGAGAGTTGGATCACCAGGGAGAAATAAGTGTTTAACACGTCTGGTTGTGTCAGAACATTGTGGAAATGTCTCAAAAACTGACTATGTTGAGTTTTCAGAAGAAGAAATCGTGGATCTTCATCATGAAATGATTCTGAAAATCGTTGCCAGCTAGAACTGTTTGTTCGGTAGTCTCATTATTCAAATTTTAAATCAGGGTAGATGTCATGACACCAACTGACAGTGGGAGGAATGTAAAATGAAATTGTTCTAACCAATTAATTAATCTTATTTTTATTCGGCTCTCACGTGTTTAACAGTGACCCGTTTATGGGTATAAAAGTTTCACTCACTTTACATGTATATTAAAAATTATTTATTACATTTCTTTTATTAACCAAGTTCTTCAGAATTATTTACAGTGGAAAACAGAACTTTATCTGACGTATATGTGAAGGTACAATTAAATAATATAACCCTCCAAAATCTGAAAGAGATATAATTAAACATTATTTGAGATCTAAAAGTTACTAGCCTGAAAACCATTTCCAGAATAGTTTTACTACGTGTAATTCCAGGGCTGTCCCAGAAATCATTTTCGTCCTGATTTACATTGATTGTGATTGACAGATCCTTGTATGAGCCAGCAGATAATATTGAAGAAACAAATAAATTTGATGTAATAAGTAATTTATATGTAGGATTTGAGGTTTTCACGGCGGTGAGTCTGAAGATTACTGTGTTCCAGCTACACATACAACAGTGACCTGGGCAGCTACACCCCTGCAACGCATGGCTATACCTACGCCACAACACCGGTACAAACGCCTCACCAGCAGATGGCATATGACATCAGTGCTGACTACGTGGACAGCACAACGACGTACGATCCTCGGCCTGGTCCTGGATTGGACACCCTTTCCGCTGACAGTGCCATTATGGCTAATGTTGTCACAACAGGTTTGTGTCATAAGATGTTAATATTTTGTCTGTGTGTGATTTTTCTGTAATTATTTCACTGTTGCTGAAACATGATTTAATTCTTGGGGCAAGGATTGGTAACCTATTCAGTTCAGACTCTGGTTGTGGAATTGTTACGTACTGGAAAGGGGCACTCAAGAATTTAACATTTGAACTAAATTAGTTTAAAGTCAGTAGGAGAATTAGTAGTCATTAGCCCTTATCTTGAAATTGAAGTGGGAACTTTGTCCACACTTTGTTCTCCAGCCAAGCATATATATACAGGCGTACCTCGTTTTATTTCGCTTCGCAGATATTGCGTTTTTTTTTTTTTACAAATTGAAGGTGTGTGGCAACCCTGCGTCGAGCAAGTCTATCGGCGCCATTTTTCCAACAGCATGAGCTCACTTCGTGTCTCTGTGTCACATTTTGGTAATTCTCGCATTGTTTTTTAGACATAATGCTATTGCACACTTAGTAGACTAAAGTTTAGTGTAGACGTAACTTTTATATGCACTGGGAAACCAAAAAATTAGTGTGACCCGCTTTATTGCGGTGATCTGGAACCGAACCCGCAATATCTCCGAGGTATGCCTGTATATTGGAAAAACTGAAGGCCGTATGTGTTAATCAGATTTATTCCATTCGAAGATGTCTGCTCCTGATTGAACACAATTAAACAGTTCCACCACTTGTTGAAGCACTTCATTTTAAATGTTTTTCATTTTCCATGTTGCGTTTTTCGATTATATATGGCTAAGATGGATAAGAGTAAACTACAAGCAGTTGAGATAAAATTCCTGAAGGCATTAGTGGACAAAACCAGGAGAGAGAATTAGAGAATTAGAAACACGCCCTACAGTTGACAGCTTAAAATGGAGGAAATACAAAACCAATTGAGAAAAGTAGGTTGAGATGGTTTAGACTTGTTGAAAGAATGGACGAGCATCGAATACTAAATATATTTTGGAAATTAAGAAAAGTGGATGATGCAGGGGGAACGATACACGTGACAGACCACGTTCAGAGGAAGACAAGACTAGAGGATGGTGTTCGAAATGAAAGAATAGGTAACAGAGACAGTGAGAGACTTCTATGCAAAAGTCAGCCCACAAATGTGAAAGTGACACGAGGAGGACGAGGAAGAATAAGAAGGAAAAGAGATGTATATAATTTATATAGGTAGTAATTATATGAGGAGTCGAGCTAGCTCAGTGAATGTAGTGACAACCCGGGTTTGATCCCTGACAAGGGCAGAGGATTTTTCCTGTAGCCTCTGCGTCCAGAGCGGCTATGGGGCCCACCCAGCCTCCTGTCCGTTAGGTACCGGGGTCGTTTCCCAGGGGTAAAGTGTGGCTGGGGTGTGACACTGACCACTCACCCCTACTTAGTGCCGAGATTATATTTGATTGGGGAAAACCTAGACTTGACTCTTATGTACAATTATTTAAAAATATATTATTTTATTAATATATTTTTAGGGTCTAACTTTGTTTGTTATGTTTAGACATATGAAAAATTTTGTTATGGAGTAAAATACGAAATCACTGAAGAAGTAATAGAATAAACTTACTGGGTTACTAATATTGTTAATTACATCGGCAGGACACTGGAGAAAATCTGCCACTTTCTGACTCTGGGTTGAGAAGACGTGACAGAAAACATTTCTCGGTGCAGTTTGAAGCAATTAATTTTATTAGCAGGATCCCCTAGAAATGAACTGAATGTTTTGGCAGAAGATTATAATTAACTGTATCTCAGGAACTTTTGAATGAATCAGTGTTTCCTGAACATGTGCATCCCCTTCTCCTTCTGATGACGTGCTTTGGGCTTCCAAACAGGTAGTGGAAACAAAGCTAATTCTCTGAGTCTTCTTGGTCAAGACCAACAGCAGCAACAGCAGTCAAGGCCCGGCATGAATCAGCGATTAGGAGGGGGCAGTGGTGGTGGTGGTGGTACCGGTGCAAATAGTGGTGGTGGCTTGGTGGCGGTAAAACAGGAAGTAGCAACTGCAGGAGGAGGAAATGGAAATTCATCTGTTGAAAATATGGTGGCGGGCTTTGTAGATAGCACGACATTCCTCGCTGCTTCTCCACCCCCCAGCAGCACAGTTGGGGCAGCACAACAGAGGCAACATCTTCCTGGACTCCCACCCTCCCTTCCACCCCTTCGACAAACGACGGAGGAATCTACCGAGGGTGTACCAGGCACCACCGTCCATCCCAGTAAGACACGTAGCCAAGGTTTCCAGCTAACCATTGCTAATTGTACTGGCTGTTTTTAGTTTGTATTTATTAGAAAGGGATAATTCTTTAAGGGCTGGAAAAATATTTTAGCTATACCCAAAGGAATCAAAACGTAACCTCTGAAAATGTAGCAAGCTGAGATAATTTAGCGATTGTTCTATAAAATATTATAAGGAGAAAACACCAGATAATTGGACGTAGTTTTGGTCTGTAGAAATGTCAGTTTTCGTCTAATAAATGTCAGAGGTCACAAGTCATTGATTTTCTTCCCTGCTAACTGTATCCATGGTAGATATGTACGTGTTAGCCGAAGGCATTCCACATGATAGGACCCTGACAGCTTCAGTTGTTCATCGACTCGACACGTTACAATGAACATTTGTGTGCGCGCGTAAATATAGTACTTTTAGAATGTTTTCCAGCATGGCAAAACATTGGAATGCAATATGAAATCAGAAAGTGAGAACTTTGAAAATGATCACGCTGACTAGTGGTTAGCGATTTCAGTTTTAAAATGTGGTCGGATAGGTTGTTTAATTGTCAGTTATCGTCTTGCATTGCACTTACAATTTTCTCCGAAGAATTTAAGAATAATGAGTGTCCTTGAGCAGATGGTAATTATTCAACTAAAAAGAAATTTCCCGTTACAGAACATTTGGTTTGTTATTACGAAAACTAAAATAGACCTCATGAGGTGTGACATAAGTTCCCAGAATCCTACTGTGGAAGCTTTATTTAATTAATTACTTACAAATTAATGGTTGCTGTCACCTTCAAAGTAGTCTCCTTGCACACTTGAAATCTTAGTGTTTCCAGTGCTCAGATCATTTCTCAAACTCCTGTTTTGGAATGCTCATCAGGGTGGTCGTCACACGTCTTTGAAAGTCAGCAATATCTGAAAATCTGTGTCTCTTCAAAAACTGTCTTCAGTTTTAGTAATAGCCAAAAGTCACACAGTTCTAAATCTGGTAAACATGGGAGATGGTCCAATTTCAATATCGATTCTTTTATCCAAACACTCCGAATCGAGTGTGTCATGAGCAGGTGCATCGTTGTGATGCAAGTTCCAAGGATCAGGTGAGTCCACGCCCTCTGTGACTAACATTCTCACGTAACCTAGCCAATACTTAAAATTAACAATACTGGTTCACTGTCTGACCCTGTTGAACAAATTGAAAAGTGAACAATATCCTTATTACTTATATATATAAAGAGATAGAGAGCATATTCTTTACTTAGGCTCATGACATGCATTCTTCGGCACTTTTATGCCACTCAAAGACACTCAACTTTTTCACAGAATCAGCTACAAAAGCCTCTGTTAACATCTGCATAGTTTCACTCGCACCTTTGCCTAACTTTGCGTAAAACACGATGTTAACGCGTTGCTCCAAGTTATTCATCTTTCCACCAGGACGAAAACCACACACTTGTGTAAGTCTGCCAATACTTCTTCTTCTTCTTCTTCTTCTATGGCTCTCCGGTCCGTATTCGGTCCGTGGCCTCCTCGATTCTCCTCTTCCATTCGGTCCTCTGTTAAGTCCGTCTGTCCGAGGCTTTGATTGAGGTTTCGAAACATCTTCCTTTTTACGGTGCAAGGTTGTTAGCCTTGCGACCAACCCCCCCAACCTGGAGGACCTACTTCTGCCATATTTGCTTCAACAACGCACAAGATGCAGCTACAGACACATCGTGACACGTCACTCGCTGCTGAACGCCACATATGCGGGTATTCTGCGAACTTAATTGTCACTGAGCCACTTCCTTGTAAGATCCATTTTAACGTAAACCTTGCATCTATATTTAGGACTTCCACTTCTTATTTAGTTTTGCACCTTATATTTTCTCTCTATACAAGAAAAGTCCAGTTCTTGAAATTTTCTATGCCCTGCACCAGAAGTGGCGTAATCACACAGCCGGTATCATAATTCCAGTCATTTATAATTAATCTCGTTGTACTGGTTTCTATGTGGCCTTTCACTGCCTTCCATTAACTACATTCATTTATGTCAGATGTCTGTTAAGCTTAGACACCGATATGTCTGCCTAATTTGAAGAGATGCGTGGATAAATGTTGATGACTTTTGATGAGTTACGTGACCAAGTTCAATGCAAAACAGAGCTGAAGGATATAATTTGCTGAGTTGTCAGGTTGCGATGGTAGGGGACTAGTGTTGATGTGAAGATAATGATTGTGTTTCAGTACTAATGTCTGCATATTTTTAATGTATTTTTTATATTAACACAAATATTGATTGTATATTATTAAATTTTATGGTTAAAAACTTCCGTGTGAAAGTCATATCAAGAGAAACTGTGAATGGCTACTGAAATATGCAGATTGTTTTATTCTGATTATTGTTGCTTGTCTGTGAAGCACACACAATCCTGTAACTTTTTTGTTAATGAGAAAAAAATAATCTTCGGTATTATCATTCACATTATCACTGTATTATTTGTGCTGCATTGGAGTGCAGAGGCTAGAAGTGCAAGGGAAGAAGGTATTTCTTTTATTTTTTTGAGATTTGTTGTTCAATAGCGTTCTGGTTCATAGTTTCATGACTGTAGACAGTTTTATTTGCAAAATCACGTACTTTACAAGTACTTCGTTTTGTAAAGTTTTTCCAATTATACAAAATATGGATTAGTATATTAGTTCTCGAAAAGGCTCTTTTCAAGACCTAGCATTTTAATAAGATACCCAGAATTCTTCAAACTTCAACCATGGATTTCATTAATCTCGGCATGATCTCATTTATAGGCTGGAAATATAAACTTTTCTGTTACATAACCTAACTTCTTCATACATTCCTTTTGTTATTTTAAATGGACACGAGTATGGTTGGTTTATTTAATGGAGATTCAGAGATACTTTAGCCACCCAAAATAGTTTTGGTTATACCACGTACAACTCGACTCCATGAACTGAATCCCTCCAATTTGACTCTGGTTTTGCATGTGGCAGTGGAACCTCCTATAACTTCTTGGCCAAACTGTTACACGTCAACGTTCCACTTTCTTCGCTGTTATTTCCGAAGTCTCGTAAAAGTAGACGCTTGTATATTGTTAATGAGAGTTCAGTTGGCAGCATGTTTGCCAAGGGTTCGGGGTTTGATTCAAAGAAGGTGATTTTTGTAATCAACATGTTTATATAATGACTTTACAGGTTGTAAAATTGTATTTATTTTTTAAAACTGTGTATCGTCAGTTTACGTTATATGATACCCTCCCCAAGTCTCTGTTACATAAATCAATAGTCAGATTACGAAACACTCTCGGGTTAAAAGCTGCGTCAGGTGGCTGAAAGTTGAACAAACCTGCCGTAAACCACGAGTTCCCATCAGCTAGTTACCAACAAAGGAATGGATTGGTTACCCAGCAACTCTGAGGATGAGAACAGGGATTGTTCTCGAAACGTTGACAGAAGATTTGGTTTGTTCACCGTTCAACCATCTGAAGCGGCTTGTAACCTCGGAGTATTTCATCAACTTCAGTCACTGCGATAGTCAGATGTTCGTCTCAAATGAGAAGTCATAAATATCAAATTGAACCCACAGTGAAGTTACTTTGTCTCGATGTTATTTTTGAAATTTAATTGAGTCCATGATGAGACAAATGAGATCCATGGGTGAGTCTCAGGGATTCTGGATGTCTTTTTTTATAAGGTTATGAGGTCTTGGAAAGAGCCCATTCACGGGGTGGCATATCGATAAATATTTTACATAAGTAACTTGAATGCTTGATGAAACAAAATTCTTATGAAGTACATCAGTGACTAATTTTGTGACTAACTGGGTGATGCATGCAATGTGAACCGCTTTCTTATATTTTATGCAAAATGTTGTTAGTTTCTGTTTGTACGTGCATTCATCATGAACCTAATTAGTCAACCAAATTTGGAAATCTCTGTCATTTGGATTTCACTGATTCGTGAGGAACTGACAGGCTTCAAAGCAGTTCATTGTAAAATCTTGGTCTTCTAGGTAAAGTTTTTTGTTGTGTGTTGGTACTGGCCTCATCGACCTTTGTTGGTTTTATTGATTCTTATCAATCTGTCATCCCATCTCTCTCTTTCATTGTGTCTGTTGTTTTCTTCCCTTGCTTTGTTTGTATTGTATATTGACACAGCTGATTTTATTTTCTCTTTCTACTTACATTGTACATTTTCCTTTACTTTTAAGTACAGTTGATGACTTCGGATAGCCTCAGGGGTGGGTCAGATGCCCATATGTTTACGTCCATGAGTTATCTCCTGCATATAAATGTCATCTGCCACTTCTTGTTGAGACTGTTCAGGTCTGAAGCCAAGACGACCAACAGCTAGGATTTCTATTCCAATTTTTTACCTTACGATGGAAGTAGATCCAATTTCTGAAATATTGCAGTTTTACTGAAATATAGATGATGGAGAAAGTCCAAAATACAACTTTTACAGACTGACATGCAGCATCCCGAAAGAAATTTGCAATTTGTGACAAGTACGAATGACCATTAAAATAATTTCTTTGGCGTTCTGCTATTTAAACACAGACGCTGAATTTATTTTTTTCAATCATATAACGATATATTTTGTGACGTAAAATGTTTGAAATGAGGCAGACGAATTGATATTTCTCCAAAATTTTAAATACTGTCCTAGAGACCTAGTACTTAAATCAGTATAATGATTGGCTATGAGCTGGATGACTGGGGTTTGATTACAGATAGGAGTAGGGATTTTTCTTTTCTCTCTACAGAGTCCAGACCAGCTGTTGAACTCTTCCAGCGTCCTCTGAAATGGGTATTGGTGGGTCTTTCCCTTGGTTTGAAGCAGCCAGAGCATTTAGCTGCCCACTTATCTTCATGTAGAGCTTAAGATAGGAAAGCGTGACATTTTCCTCCAGACCCACTACACGCATTCACAGTCCTTAGGTGCAAGAACAACTCTAACTTTACCTTACCTTAAGTTGTCCACCTTAATCATAAACTAAGCGATTAAAGGAGAGGCAAATAAAAATTACTATTGAATTTAAATCAATCACTACAGAAATGCAATTCAAAAGCATTTATTATGTTATTATACAAAATAACATAGAAATCGCTGTAGTAAAATTTAAAAAAAAATACAAGTTCAGGGCAGAAGGCTTTCTAACATACAGACTTTCAATCTGATAGATCTTTTATTGTTAGTGTTATATTTAGTCAACGAAATTTTGATTTATTTATTCTTCTTTACATTATGCTAGTTTGGATAGTGTTTTAGTCTTGTAAATCATATTTATTAATCACTAAAACTTAAGGATTGCTTTTACATCATACAGTGTGTCCACAAAGTCCCTTCGGGGTTTTGAAAAATTGTGGCGCGCGAACAAATTGAGCTAGCCACATGCGGTTTGCGGCAGATTACAGTGAAACTCTGGAAGTTTTTTACTGACCTCGATGTGGGCTCCCTTGGTAGCACGGAGAACGTCCAGATGATATTCGAGCTCTTGCCAAGTTCTGTGGAGCATGTCCGCTGGAATAGCCGAGATCGCATTCCTGATACGGGTCTTCAGGTCATCAGGTCCGTTAACTGGTGTTCGGAACACAATGCTCTTGACATAACCCCACAGGAAAATATCCAGTGGTGTTATGTCTGGTGAACGTGGAGGCCAAGGCATTGGACCGTCTCTGCCGATCCGTCTTCCTGGAAATGTCCTGTCTAGGTACGCGCGTACCTGCAGACCCCAATGAGGTGGAGCACCATCTTCCCAGAGTTTCACTGTAATCTGCCGCAAACCGCTCAATTTGTTTGCGCGCCATAATTTTTCAAAACGCCGAAAGGACTTTGTGGAAACACTGTATATTTAAAATGTGCATTATATTGTAATTCATGAAACCAGAATATATAAAAATAGAGACCAATAAAGAAGCTGTAAGGGCAATGGCTTTATTAGACACGTAATCGAAAAAGACACGAAGCTTCGATATTGGTATCCTGTATTTATGAAAATCTACGCAGTAATTTCTCCTTTTACGCAGTAGTTGTGTTCCTGAAACATTTTTTTACAGAAATAGTATAAAGGATTACAAGGTACTTATAAAAATAGAGGTTTATGATTCTAAGCTTTAAAATAACTGTAATATCATTTGTATTATCTGCAATTTATAAATTTTACAGGACATGTAATAAATCACAGGATAATAATATACAGCTTATATGATTATAAAGGTTATTTATTGACAAGTGTGTCTTAAACGAAGGAAGTGTAACAAATACTCCAGAATATTTTAAACATTTTATTAAAATAATTTAATATTTTTATTATGAACCCTTCATGGGGAATTAATACACTTTAACCTGTTTTTGTTAAACATTTATTAAATGTGTCACTTTAGAGTCATCTCTGTTAATTTTTTCTTGGATATTTTAATCAAATGTCTGAGTCACTGTGTTCAAATATGTCATCAATTAACATTGATTACAAAAAGTATACATTCATTCTGCTTATAATTTTTCAGATCCAGCACAGATATCGGAGCTGTTGAGCAAGACGATCGCGGATGCACACGCAAGAACGTGTCTCTTCACCACAGAGCACATACACGAGATGTTTCGCAAGCCACAGGATCTTTCAAAACTCATTTACTACAAGAATATGGTCAGTCATGTTGTGATCTCTCTTTAACTCTTAGAGTGCCTGCCATCTCCCTGAGAGATGCACACAAAATCTGCTGCAGTTACCAGAGTCTCCCAGAGAGTTGTAGTCCAGTAAAAAGCCAACAGATGGAGCAAATTCTGTGTTTAGTGCATAAGTCTCGTAGTGAAAACTGATAGAGAGGTATGTTTACCAGTTTAAAAATTGCAGTTTTGTGTCTGCAGTCGTAAGATTCTTAGCATTTTTCTAGCGCCCTGATATTTCAACACAATCGTGTGGTACTTTTCAGACATAATTTTAATATTTACGTCAGCATGCATAGTGTCTGAATTGGGAATTAAGAATTCCTCGTGATCTTTAATAAGCATCACATTTTGGTTTCTATCATATTTTTATGATACTAAGTGCCACTACACTTTCCATTCTTGGATTTACGAAGTCTCAAGTTTCATTAACTGGGTCAAATATTTTAAATAGCAGGCGATATAATTAATTACATTCAAATTGGCTGAGAAACACACCTCTTTATTCAGCTGCTTGATCGAACACGTTACGTGATTAAATGTTTTAATTTGCTGATTGACGAGATTGGCTGGTAATGTTTATTAAGATTTTAGAATGTTATGTACGTTTTTTTAAACTTATCTTCTAGATCCCATATCAGGATTTAGTTAATTTCGCCTCTGAATGATCAAAGGTTGCCTGGAACTGTGATCCAATATATATACTATCAATGAAAAAACAATTAAATTTTGAACTCTCAGAATTAATCCAGAGACTGATATTGCAATTGGGTATTACGTTCCCAGTTCTTGAAGTTATTGTATTTTTAATTTATTATGCTCTAGCTCTTATCTAGATTTCTAAAGGAGTATTAATTGCTAACCCGAGCTACTCATTAGCGAATATCAACCTGTGCCTTCCCATTAGTGATCATCTATGGGAATCATGAAGGGTCCCATTTGTTCATCAGTATTCCCCCCGCTTCGGATAAATCCTCCAGCCCACATTTTTCTTTAATATCCCCCGCTTCGTATACATCCTCCAGCCCACATTTTTCTTTAATATGACATTGTTTCCAATGAAAATCCACTGATTTCTGAGCTTAAGGTGGAATAATAACACAGCTTATATCCAACAATTCATAAGTTTTATGACTCGGATTCAGGCAACAAACCTGGTATATTTGTTGAAGACTTGACTGAAGCGGACTGTTTGAGGACCATACTTCCCGATCATGTTATTTATGTTTTTACCACAGAGACCAGTAAGTACGCGCATCAAGTAATTTTAGAATAAGATAATGACAACTTACGTTACCATCTGACAACATGGACAAATACTAGGAATAAAATATATACTTTTATCGCCCTGTTGATGGCTAGAAATAAACGTAATTCGCCGAAAGAATATTGGTCAAAGGATGTGCTACTCATTTCGAAAATGTCCATTGTTACTATGGCAAGGGACAGATTCCTTTTGATTTTCAGAATGCCCCATCTTTCAAATAATGAAAAGCAAATTCAAGGAGACTGACTCCGAAAGGCGCACGACATTTTCAACAAGTGTCTTACTGTATTTCAGGATAGTTTCTGTCCTTTTCATGTCCTCTGTGTTCAGAGAAAGGTTAAGTTGGAAGCAATACGTAAAAACAAAAAGATACAGGTTAGGAATAAAACTTTATCTTCTCTGTGACTGTGAAAGAATGCAGCATTTATGTGTTAGCTCTTTTAAACAAAAATTTTACAGAGAAGAGTTATTTACGAAATATGTCTGTGTGGTAAATGCGCAAATTGAGGAGAACTGTAATATATGTTCATCTTGTAACTTAATTTGAAACTTATGTTGAATGAGGACTATTGTTAGTGTGTACTGTACATGGATGTCCTTGCTGGCAGGCACACGAGGAGCTGTGGCTGGAATGTGCCCAGAAGCTGACTACAGTCATCCAGCAGATCATCGAGTTTGCCAAGATGGTGCCGGGTTTCATGAAACTGTCGCAAGACGATCAGATTGTCTTACTTAAAGCAGGTGAGAGAAATAAAATATCGGTGAAGGTGAGTATACCGTTCACTAAGCGTCTTAATGAATTAGATATTACGGAAAAAGACAACACACGTCACAAAAGTATAATTGTGTATTACAAAATTGCTAGTGAAAAAGGTCAATTAAAATTCAACAAAGAATGTTTCTTTCATATTTTATTCTCTTACCCTCTGTTTTTCTGTTCCCGTGTCCCTTTTATACCCTTATCTCCTTTCCTTCTTTCTCCTATATTCCTCTCAATTTCCTTCTGCTTCTCACCCATCCTTGTTGTGGCATCAAACACATTCCATCACGTTGCCTGTTGGATTTTAAGTGTTCTTTACGCTCTGTCACGAAAGAACAACATATTATGTGTGTGTTCTGTCTGTCACGTCTTTCAGCCAAGATTGTGAGGTGGGAGGATAAGATAAGAATTTTATGGATGCTGACTGGTAAGTAAAACTGGAGGTACTTTTTGACAAACAATTTTACAGTTTCAGGTGCGTAAACATTAAAAACCTCAGTCAATAAAGTATTTATCTTAGGACAACTGCAAATTTTTTTACTTATTTCTTGATTAATCCCAGTTATGAGAGCCGCATGTGCAAAGTAATAAATACGAGGGTTGCTCATTAAGTAATGCCCCACATTTTTTTCCTCAGAAGATATTTATTCAAGATGGCTCAAATTTAGTGACAATATAAATCAATGTTTCCTTTACACATACTATTTTTCCACATAGTCCCCATCAACTTGTACGGTTTTACGCCAGCGTGGAACAAGTGCATGCATGCCTTGCCGGTACCAGCTCTTGTCCTGTGCACGTAGCCATGTCCTCACTGCTTGAATAACGCTCTCGTCATCTTCAAACGCTATCGGTTGGAATCATTTGAAACTCCGTACACGAACGCGGGAAACATCAAATCTCAAGCATGTAAAAGTGCACTTTTCTATCTTCATTATTGGCTGAGAAAAAAAATGTGGGGCATTACTTAATGAGCGACCCTCGTATTTGTAAGATTTGAGGTTTTCACAGCGGTGAGTATGAAGATTTCTGTCTTCTGGGTTGTTATGCTGTGTAGTCTGGTTGATGTTAAACAACATTTCAGAGGTCATACTGCCTCCGTCATCAGGGCGATCGCCCTGATGACGGAGGCTTGTTAGAGATATTACAGATGTTATTTTCAGTGCAAATAAAATTTCTTATAAAATGGTGTTCATAGGGAGCTTTGAATTGGCTGTCCTACGGATGAGCCGGTACTTTGATCTCAGCCAGAATTGTGTGCTGTATGCTGATACGATGCTTCCGCAAGACGCATTCTTCACTACGGAGACAGCGGAGATGAAGCTTGTTACGTGTGTGTTTGAATTTGCGAAGGGCGTCTCAGAGCTGAAACTCACTGAAACTGAACTTGCCCTTTATTCAGCCTGTGTACTGCTGTCTGCAGGTTTGCATCTCAGTTCCTTTATAAAATGTAATAAATGGTAAACTAGCAAATGAGTAACTACCAAACATTGCATGTTATATCTCGCCAGGAATTTTTCTGGTGTTATATTCTTTCGAGCATGCAGAATAAGTCACTCAAAAACCTAACAGAATCCATCTCTAATGTACTGTGTTAATATTGAAATTTGTAATAATTTTTAAATTTAAAAAATTTTGAGGGGTTTGTTTTCTAAACGCGCTTTTTGGAAATTCATTCCTACTATTCAGAATGCCTCACATGTACAAGAATGGCCATAAATTGTGACTGGATGGTGTATAAGGTATAATAATATGTAATTATGGAGAAATGAGAGAAGATGTTTGTGAAGTGTCTGGTGAATGCGGGGCAGATGAGAAATTACTGGAAGCAGAGGGAAAAAGAGCCATGCCATGGCTAAACTCCCTAGCTTTGTAGGGGATATTTATTTAATGAGTGTACTACTCATCATAAAGGAGCATCTTGCGAGTGTGAGAGTCCACAAGAAAAGAAAAAGTGCCTTGTGTCTTAATAAACCAGCTCCAGCTGAGGCTAATTTATGAAAACTGGCGAAAAATTCATTCCTCACTGATTTCGTGTTAGATGCCAAATGAAGTGGTAAACTGCAGAAATGTGTGGATGCAGATGTAAATGTTTGGAGGAGTCAGTTCAATGATTGACCAGAAAATGCATGAAGAAATCTGTAGAATTCCAGATTCCTAGAATTTCCAAGCAATATTTGATTAGGAACTAAGGCTACCATAAGTATTGTCCCATATTTGTAAATGGAATAAGTTTTGTGGACATGCAGTGACAGGCGTGTGCAACTTCATTGCATATATTCCCCACCTTAGCACCCCATCACAACAATATTTCCATTGGTAAATGTGCAGTAAACCTCAGCACAAGGTCTCAGAATATTTATTGATTGATTGATATCCTGTCGCTCTTAGCCATAGCATAGGGCCTCAACAAAGCAGCGCCAACGAGTTCTATTACGAGCCAGAACTTTCTGCTCCCTCCGGGTCCTTCCTTCTTTGTCTCCTCTTCAATGGTTCTCCTCCAGGTTGTTTTTGGCCTTCCCCTTCCTCCGTCCCTGGGGATTCGAGGAGATTGCTTGCTTTACGACAGCC